TGATGGCTGCAAAGTAGGCAAGGAACCAGCAGCTGGCCCAGGCTCCCTGGAGAGTCTCCATGCCTCAGTTTCCTCACAACAACAACAACAAATTAAAAAAAAAAAAAAAAAAAAAGTCAAGGCAAGCACAACTTCCCATTCCTGTGGATTGGCCAATTCTGTGAAAAGCTGGAGGGTGGCCAAGTGCTTTGGTCCAGGTCCTGCAGCAGCACAATTCAGACGCCAAAATACCAGGTCTGCACAGAGATATTCACCCAGAGAGCACCTTGCAAAGATATTTGACTGGATTTTTAGCTGATACACATGCAAATGGAACTGTTTTTCTGAAGACAAACAGGGCATGAGGACCACAGAACCATCAGCATTTAAAAGCAGTTATCCAAGTAATTTATCCCCTTTTTCTCATAAACCTATTTTAAGCTGGGTTGTTGGTTTGGGGGTTTTTTTGTGGTAAAGAGTATGCACGCCAAACAGCTGGAAATAAAATCCAGAGGCAGCACTTAGGGATGACTTGGCAAGTGAAGAGAAATTCCTGTCCAAGTCACTTGAATGGCATGACCAAAACGCAAACAAATCAGCTGCCAGGCTGCCCAGGTGAATCACTTTCTCCCAACATAAATCCTTTTGAAAGCAAATTCCTGGTTCAGTTCAGAGGAAGTTGCTGAGGTTACAGCACTGGGAATGCAGTTTGGGAAGTTTTTTAGTACTTGGCAGCTCTAGTGTCAGGGGATGCACCTGGACCATGGAGCATGTAATGAGGCAGCATCCCTCTCCCCGTGGCTGCATCCCTGCTCCTCTCCCATCCCCGCAGAATTGCTCCTCACATGGTGCTGCACACAGGAAAGGCCAGGGCACAAAGCCAGGAGAGGCAGATCTTAACGATGCCTAATGGAATTTAGATTAACCAGCTGCCTTTCATGCCACCCTGTGTGACACCCCGAGAGCCCTCCCAGCACCGGCAGGACAGGCAAGACTCTGCAGGGGATTTCTCTCCCACCCTTCCATCCACCTGGTGAGCCCAGAGACCTCATGGGAAAGGAATGCAGGGAGTGAATGGCTGGTGGCAGAGCCATAAACCCCAGCTTAATTATGGTCTGGGTGGAGAGCTCTGCCTGCCTGTCCCAGCTGCCTGCAGGTGGGACCTGAGGATGGAGACTCAGAGCAGATCTGGAAAGGGTAAACAAACTCAGAGGTATCCATATAAACCTGCAATGTACATGGGATTCCCTTCCCCTTCCAGGAAAAGATAAATCCAACAACTCAAGAAACCAAATTAAGGCCACAAGGAAGAGTTACAGTGCTGATACCCAGATGGCAGAGAAGAGCCACCCACCATCTTCCTCTTTTTCTCACCAAAGCAGACTCAGCAGGCAAGAGATGAAAAAGTGCCTAAAATATATTTTTTTTCTTTTCTTCTTTTCATAAATATTCCACGTTCCTCAGGCTGGCGCTGCCCTCACACTCACTCCCTTTATGCAACCTGCCTCCCATCAATTTTGGCAGCAAGTGCCAGTTTTCCACACTTGGACACCAAGGCAGCTGAGCAGTGCACCCAGAAAAATATTGGTTTCCCCTCTAACAGTGTCACTTCCTCTCGCAACCTATGGGTACCAAGTCTAGTTTTGCAACAAACCCCACACACTTACGAGATAAAGTGAGGAGGAAGGAATAATACCCAAATAAATAAACCTTTCCTTTAAGAGTGGATAAAGGATCTCAAAGAGCCAAGAGGATTTGAAGCCATTAAATAGCACTTCAAGAGGATGGGGGCAATACTGGGTACTGTTCATGTGCCTCTGGCTCCAGACAGCTGTGACAGTCCCAGAGCTGGCACATACGTGCCACCTCCAAAGGCTGCTGCAGGAGTTAAACACCTGTAATTGGGGAATCTCCCCACAATTTCTTTTTCTGCCAAAGGAAAGATCCAGGTTCCTCTTGGACCATGAGAAAGCATCTGTTTACAGACCTGGGAGCACCTCCCAAAACACCAAGTTATCCATCAAGGAACTTTTTGTCAGGAATCTGAGCCCAAACCCAGCTAAATCACAAAAGTCTCCGGGGAAACTTTGCATCAGGGATGAAACAGAAACCAGTGTTTTGCTCAGTGCTTCACAAAGACCTCGTTCATCATTTCTTTTCACCACTGCTGGGAAGCTATCGGGGATTTCAATGGATATTCATTACTGCTTATCCATATCTAGCCAGGTAAGTCAAGGTCAGTGATGACTTTCAGGCTTAATCAGGATATTTAGAAGGCGCTCATCACTTGTGGCTTATATCTGCCAGAAAGTCAGCACTGATGAGCCCCTGTGCTTTACCAGAACAGGGGAGGGAAGGAAGAAAAAAAATCAAGAAACGCAACAAAGCAATACAAACCGCGAGAGGGAAGGAAATTTGCTTCTATACCAAGTCGGATAAAACAGCCACCTCCCCACTTCAGGCACTTTTACTGTCTCCTTGTATAAACCTTCCCCCACACCACATGTTCTACATTAGTCCTACGATCCCCTTTCCCAGCTCTTTTTCACTGCAATTCCCCGACACCTTCACGCGTGAACGTTTCTGCGCTTCGCATCGCACGCACACGTGGAACCCGCTACCGCCCTGAAAAAACCGCGCCAGCCGGGCTCTTCCAGGCACAGCCCCCGAGCGGGAGCGAAGGCAAAGAGAAGGGACGGGACACGGAAAGGCAGCGGCGAGCCCCTTCCCTCCCTCCTGGAGCATCCCCCTTGCGAGCCCCCTCCCCTCCCCTCGCCCGGCTCTGCCCACCCGGCGCCTGCGACGACTTGACTTTCCCAGCCCCCTACGTGAGAGACGTGCAGCTTGACAGCAATTTAATGGACCGCCGTCAAAAAGGCCAGATGAAGGCACCGCTTCCGAGCCACTCCAGCCTCCCACTGATGAGGAAGCAACAATCGGGCTAATTATTTCACGCGCAGGGGAGCAGCATCCAGAGGATGCTCCCGCTCCCCCCTCCAGGGACTACGCCGGCCGCGGTCTCCGTTACACCTCCCTTCCCACCCAGCTTGGTGGCTCTGCTCTTTGTTTGTGCTGAGGAGTTAACAGCACCTCGAATTTAAAATAGCCACGCTGTTAAAAAAAAAAAAAAAAAAAAAAAAAAAAAAAAAAAAAAAAAAAAAAAAAAAAAAAAAAAAAAAAAAAAAAAAAAAAAAAAAAAAAAAAAAAAAAAAAAAAAAAAAAGGCAGCTAAAAAGAGCCTAATAACCCTCCTCCCATATTGCACAGCGAACAGTGCCCAGCGTGGCTTGTTCCCACCCCGAGAAAAAATAATTAGAAGCCACACTACGTTATTAATAAGCCCCTTGGTGCCTTGATATACTAAAATATGTTAGTTTTCTCCTCCACCAGGAGGGAATTCTCTCCTCTGAGAAACCAAGTGGCAAAAACCACTGGGAGGCTCTGCGTGCACAAGGCATTTCTTTCAGAGGTGTCAGCCCTTGAGAGAAGTCAAGCCATACAGACACACGTGCAA